AATCACCTACCTACATATGGATAAAACTTATTGTTTTACCAGTTCTCTGAAGATATAATTTTAATAACAAAGAAATATCAGATTTAATTTTGTATATAGGAAGATTTAGAGATATAAAAAATTTTGGAGAACAGCTTGAGATAAGCCTAAATCCATCATCAGTTTACAGGTAGCAAGTCTATAAGGTAAAGGAAAGTAATGCAATAATACAAATGCAGTGAAAATATAAAAACTGGAATTTCAAATATGTATGTTTTACTTATTTTTTGGAAACAGACATTTACTATCTGATATGGATTTCTCTATTTGAGAGAAGTTAAAGAAAAATGCAATTATAATGTAGCCAAGAGTGAAGGAGGTAATAATAAAGTGAAGAATAAAATCTGTGAAAAGAGAGTGAATAAAGGCAGAAAAAAGGTGGGAGAATAATGAAGATAAAAACATCAAAGTAAGAAAGAGAAAAGTGCAGATGAAAGAATAAAGAAAAAAGAAAAAGAAAAAAAAAAAGAAAGAAGAAAAAAAATCATTAAAAAATGAAATCAAAATAAAAGCTAGCAAAATGATGAAGAAGAGAATGAATAAAAAAAACCCAAAACAAGAAAAAACAAGAAATAGTAGCTCTAGGGTAATATTGATTTGACTAATTTTATTTAAATTACATCTTTCTTCTTCTTTGCATGTTTTTTTCTTAATATTTTTTATGGGGGTCCAGGTTCAGATAACAACTGAATCATTCCACCAATCCATGAGCTTAAGAAAAATATCTTCAGCTGAAATAAAAAATTATTTTTAAAAATTGAAGAATGGAATGGAGTGTAGAAAGAAGGGCTAATTTAAGTCTTCAAATATGCCTAATTAAACACATGATTAACTGATAAAAAAAAGGTTCCTTTTTAGCAGATATTCTTACTCTCTCTTGTCATTAAGCATGTTAATTGGGAGAGTTTTTCCAAACTGCAGCATTATTTGTAAAATAAAATTATCTCCTTTTCTTTATGAAATTCCCTTTTGGTACAATAGAAAACTAGATGCTGGTTCTATTATCCCAACCAAAAGTTGATGATTCCTGTAACAAATTCTGTAAAGCCTTTACTTTCTCCCATCTCTTAAGTGCATTACCCAAGCCACACCCATCTATTTCAGTTCTGCTTTCTCTTTTGACTGTGTCACTGTCTCCTTTCCTTTTCTCTAGTATGAGCAGATGACTTCCTGTCTTTAAACAAATGACTGTCGATTCAGTTTGATATGCTTTTCCAATCCTCACTCATGGAGCCAACAAAATTGCATAATATTGTTCATTGCATTCATATCAGTTCAATGTCTCATGCCAATCATGGTTATTATTCTTTATCATCTAGGCTTCATCATTGCATTACACTCTCCTACTCATCTTTCAGAGCAGTCACCCATCTCTCTCACCTCCTTTGTCATAACTTCCTTTTATTCAGAAAAAGAGAAGGATCAAGATGCTTCTCTTTGCAAGTATTAGCCATGCCATTAAGTTCTGAATGCCAAACAATGATAGTTTTAACAATTAGAGTTTTTTGCTGTGAAGATAGGGGAAAATATTAAGCATTTCTTCTAAAAAGTGTAGAAATTTTAAAATTTTCAGTATGAAAACAATTTATAAAAATATCTTTAGTTTTTTTTTACTTAATGTAAAAATAGTAAATTGTTTGGAGAGAAATAAAGGGTAAATTTGATGCTGTTTAGATTAATATCAAATATATCTATAAAAAAAATTAAAACTCCACAGCAATATCTACAGGAAATAACTTATAATTAAACTGAACATTTTTAAGGGTATAATTGTTTGTTAAACTAATATGGCTACTAAAATGAATTGTCTTTTAGATTTTCTGAGGACTAGATAGACAACAAACTTGGTATCTTCATTTAGTTCATAAGTAGCATTTCAAAATAAAGGTAAAGAGAATAAAGAAAGTCTGTTGACAGTGATGAGTGCTTGTCAAATGTGATATTTTTATACAATTAAATGTAATAGAAATTAAGCATTTGTTAAGAATACAAAGAGATTTTTGAAGTAGAGAAACATCCCAAGCTATAATAATTTCATACTCTAAATTGTTACCTCATAATAAAATTCACATTTTTAACTAACAATGATACTCAGTAACAGGCTTTGACCATTGTTTTGGATAAGTTTTCTATGTTTTTAATAGTCTTCATGTTTAAAATGTATCACCATTGAACATATTTAAAATATTGTAAGTTTAAGTTGTACATGCATGTGTCAAATGGATGAGTGAGAGTTACTTGCATGCATACAACAACTAAATATTACTTATGAATGCTATATCAATAAAAACAAGCACACACACACATACCAAAATGTCATAAAAAAAAGAATGTAAATTGGCATTCTTTTTATAAGATTACCTGTTGGACAGTACATTAGATGATTATCAATGCAGAAAAGGTGACTGAGTACATTTACTGGTAATGCCAACACATCAAATACCAGGGTTAAAAATCCTTCAAGACTTTAATAGGTTGTTATTAATGACCTAATTATTAAGATGAGTAGTAATTTAATCAAAAATTAACTTATTTAGTTGAAGGAAACTAAGTGGGTGTGGGAAAGAAAGGTAACTATGGTATGATATTTTTAAGATATGTAATGACAAAATAGAGAGGAAAATTTTGATGAGAAAAAAATTGAGTAATTTTTCACTTATGAATTAAGAAGTAACCGTAGAAAATAATATCATTTATAAGTTATAAATTTAAAATCGTCTCAAATATATATATATATATATATATATATATATATATATGTACTTTGGAATGAAGATTTGGTACCTTTTTTCTAAATATTTTTTTCTTCTTTGATGTATTTTGTTGAAAAGATAGTGTAATGGTGTATTGCTGTCTTCTCCACAGTTGAATTCAGAGTTGTCCTTCTCCTAGACTGGCTACCACCCAAGGCTAGATAACACAATCTACCTTGTTATTTATCCCATAGCTTGAGTGAGAAGAAGAAATTAATTAATGCCTTCTCCAAAGGCATTAGTGTTAAAATGTTTTAACATTATTGTGTTAACAAAAATTGTGCTGCAATGTGCCATTATAACAAATACTCAAGGGTACAAACCTGCAGAAATTAGATCATTATAATTGTAACAAATAAATTATCTACTTATAATATTATCAATAAGGAAATATCTATAAGTGGTCATTATTAAGTGAGGAGGCGGCTTTTGTAAAGCTTTCATTGTAGCATTTCCATATAGTGATTTACTCAATATATAATGATTTACTCAAGCATAGCTTAGATGTGGTACAATGCTGAAAGTATGGAGTACATAGTGAGGATTAAATTCACTACTCAGCTATAATTGAAAACCATTACACTACACCAAAGTGCCCCTGTAGAATTTCAATATATAAGAGATTTTCCAAAGACGAATTCTGAGAAATTAAAATTTCCACATATAAATATTAATATATGTTCTTTTGAAAAGAATTGAAAAGTTACCAATAGAAATAAAATATTAGATGGTTATCATAAACCAAATCAATTTTCTGATGTTAATATTTTAAAAATCTATTTCAAGGAAAGTGTTTCCTATTTTCATTTCTTTCTTAGTAATATTTATGCTACTAATAAAAAATGTTAGAAAATTTATTTGTAAACACAAGTGAATTACTTTGGAACTTATAAATTTAGTTATGCATTCATGATTTGTGAAAATAAAATAGAAAATTAAAATTTTTTTTTGTTCTGAGTCTTTAAGAAAGGTAAAAATGTTGATTATTTATGATTTTCTGATTCTAGAAAATTTTAGAAACAAATAGTGAACCTTTAAGAATTCTAAATTCAGTATCATAAATGGGATCCTTTTTGCAATGAAAAAAAAAAAAATAATAAACATCTTTGCATTTATGCACCTGTTTAACCTCAGATCATGTAGCCTTAACAGAAGTACTACTTGGTGGATACAGGTTTCTTTGTTGTTTATTTATCTATTGAGATTTGTCTATTAATACACTTACAATTGTCCTGTAATTTTTGCCGAAACTAGGATTGAATCATTGACCTTTAGTTTAATGTTCCTACCATAAGATAATCAACTAAAGGTTGAACGGAATTGATGATTAAAGCATCTCCCAATGTCATTCATACCTGCTAAATCACTAAAGCTGTTGTCAGAGCAAACCTAAAGACCTTCAGTCCAATGCTCTTAATATGAAGGTCTGTTATTAATTCAATACATTAAGAGATGTTCTTCACACCTAAACTTATTTTTTGTTAAATTGGTTGTCAAGCAGGAAATACGTGACCTTCACATAAAAGAAGAGTAATTTAAAAACTCAACAGATTCATAAGTTGAAGTTAAACAGACTTAAGCAAAGTTTTCTTTTTCTTGCTTTTTTTTCTTCATGCCTGATAAACTTGAAAAGAAACTATTTCTTCATATGAAGCAATGACCTAATCAACTTAAACAATGCTCTCTCATACACGGGTTCTCTTTTTAACTTAAATAGATTTAAATGTTTCCTTTTATTTGAATAGAAGTTATTCAAACAATGTATCCAAATAAAATAAGATTCTGATAATGCATCCCTATGAACATAGCTATCTTCCAATTACTAAACTATATTCATTTAGATTGATTCATTTTCAGTCATCTTGCATAACAAAAAAGCAAAAAATTAATTACTTATATTCACTGATGTTTATGCAGATAGATTTTAAAATGATTATTTTTTCATTCTCATCAACAAAATCCTAAGGAATGGATATTTATCACTTTTTAACATTTTTCTGCATTTCATATCAGAATCAAAATATTGACAACCAAGTACATTGACTTAAATTTTCATGCCACATACTTATTAGTTAAAAATATCTATTTTGTATTCTCATTAGATCCATATATTTAACAGCAGCAGTATTCAATCAATATATAATATTAGAACACACATGAGACAAGTAAAAATAAAGGTATAAAAAGTTGCAATAAAACAATACTGACCTTGATAAAAGATTTTGCTTTGGTTAATAATCCTAATGTAGTATGACGGGTACAGTCTTGTCCCAATGGCACGAGGTCTTTCAAATTTTCCAGACAATGACGTAAGTGAGCTCGTCTGAGACAGAGAAGAGAGAAGTAGATTTTAAAATGTGACAAATAAGCACAATGCAAGAATTACAGTAAGAATAGTTAGATTTATATGAAAGAAACAAAAGCAGACAAAGTTGAAAAACTGACATGATTGATATGAGGATAACAGAAGTCCAACACTATAGGCAAAATGTTATCTGGAAATATGCTAATAATACCCAACTAAAAAGTACAACATGCTTTTCCATACACACTTTTACTTCTTTTAATTTCATCAAAATCAAAAGTAATAAGTAAGAATAATAAATGTTTTGAAGAATAATATTTGTGATATATCAACTATTATGTTTTATTCTCATAAAAATAACTTCCAGCACATTTTTATGGGCAATTGATAAAATACATTTCATATAAAGTAAGAGACTTGAACCCTTTTTATAAATTTCTCAAAATGATTTCATATTCAGCTTGAGTGGGATAGCTAAATTTTGATCATCTATAGCAGAACTAATAATAGACAAGTAATGTGCAAACCCAAAGTAAAGTAGTTGTAGTGAGTGGTGCACATATGCAAATTGTTAAAACCATTGTCAACTGACAGAACATGTGAAGGGTTGATTAATGACTGTCCCCAAGAGCAGTTAGAGAAGCAAAAGTGGATTCCCATGCTAAGAGACTAAATCACATTGAATCAATAATCTCAACACTAGGCCCAAGAAACAGTAAGAAAAAAAACATTCAATGGTTTCTCTCCAAGATAGTAGAGATGCTTTTTGTTATATTAATGCTTTTTCCACAGCTTATTACACCATCACTTTTCTATCAAGGCAAATATGTTAACTATATTATTCTACAATCCAAAAAAAAAAAAAAAACAAAAAGAAAAAAATCATCAAGATAATGCTATTACCAGATGGCTTATGATTGCTAGTTTATAAGATGCAAATGGCCAAAAATAGTACCAGAGGGAAATTTTATCAAAGTTTTTCTGTGAGGTAAAAAATTAAAATTACCTCTGGCAGAAAAGTCTGGTTTAACTCTTGTGTAGATAATATATATACATCCAGTTATATGTATATAGTCTGGTTGATATTTGAGGATAATAAATGCCTCTGAAGACTAATAACAAAGTCATCTGAAAACTGATCTTCTAATAATCCTTAATTTGACTATTTGGATTCAGTAACAAAATAAATTAAAAATGACATTAAGAAACCATTTAACCAGTTATTTGAAATGCTTCCAGTAAAATGCAGCACTTTGTTCTTTTATTTAGAGTGAATTTTCTGAGGTTTTTGCAAAACTGTATTTTCTCTCTCCCTCATTACAGTATCGTTCAGACTGCTTTTATATGCTTTTATACAGATTTAATATATTTAAGGTACCTAAGTACCTTACAAATTTTCTCCTGTTAGAGAATACAGAATTTGTTTTTTTCTCTTTTATGAACAGACCAATTTGTTTTTGTACATAGAGGAAAAAACAGTAATGAGAGAGACAGAGAGAGAATGCAGCGATCCTGTTTTTGTTAGGAAGAATTATAACTAATTATAGTACCTACCAAAGTATAAAACTTGTAGACAATGATAATTATGATAATAAACACCATCACAAGAAAATATATCTAACATACTTAAAAATTAATGTTAAATCACACAGTCATTTTTATTTATTTTTATTTTTCTTAATTATTTTTGCAGTTAAAGAATGCAATTTTTTCTTATAAATAAAAAAAGGCAGATGTAGCGAAGTTAGAGAGGAGGAGACATGTTGATGCAATGTAAAACTATAGAAAAGGATTATTTCATGCAGCCCTGAATTAACAAGATATTTGTTGGTACACAGCAGTGAATTTGAACAATCACATAATGGAACAAGCTAACAGATGTCTGTATTTTTTTATTTTCTGCATACAATGAAGAACTGTGGGTAAGATTAAGAAAGGTTGTCACAGTATTTCCCCAAATTCCCTGTTAACACTGCATTTTTATATAAACTTACCTAACCCTTTTTCATTTTCCTATACCTTCACTTTCTCTTTATATTCACTCTCTCTCTCTCTCTCTCACACACACTTATTGTCTCTTTCTTGCATTTCCTTCATTCATCTACCCTTGTTGTTAGCAACAATGTTATCACTATTCTCAGAATGCAGCTGTCAACTGTAATGTTAACAGTTCAAGAAAAAAATGATCAAATCAAAGAGAGAACGGTTCTAATCTACAATGCATACAAGAGCCCTAGAAGTGGGGATGGGGGTTACAAAAAGCAGGAATCCTGTTTTCTCCCACTCTGCCAACCTAGTGCAGATTGGAAGTTATAGGAATGGTTAACCTAAATAAAAGTGTCATGTTATTGATTTTCTATTTCATTATATTTTCTTATTTCTTAAAATGATATTCCAAGATTATGTGAAAGAGTGGACTTGCAAGCCATGTCAAACTAAAAACAAGTACACCGAATAAAATAATATTTTTACTACAACAATTCCAACTCATCTTATCATGATACCAACTGAGTGTAACTGCAGAAATAAGCCTTTCTTCTGATCAAATTCCATATTTATTTCATTTCATGTACATTTGTATTGAATAATTTCATTCTTCTTATCAAAAAGCTGAAATAACTACACAAAATCTGAGAAGAGCAACTAAAATACATAGAATATTATGACATAAATCAATTGTCAGAATAACCAATAGTAGCTCAAAGGAGACAATGTTACTGGTATAGTTAAAGTGTTTTAAAAATGTATAAAGGAAAAGAAGAATTTTAAGGAATAAAAACATTAAAATAATTTTAAGTAACTTCTTATGACAACAGATTTATTTAATAAGTTAATTTTGTAACCAATACTAGGAAGAGACTTGAGAATTTTGTCAGATTTGTTTTCCGTAGTTTCAAAAATAATCATTAAACTGTAAGGTTTAAAAAGACGTATCCAAAATAGAGAGCAAACCAGATATTGATCCAAAGGAATGTTGAGGATGAAAAGTAAATAATTTTAAATGCCATTATCACAATCTGTTACTATGGTCAATATGCAACAAAACAAAGTCAGTAAAGAGATAAAATACATATTTGTCCTCTCACAGATAAAAGTGTGTCTTTAAAAAAACAGTGATGCAAATGGAAATCTGAAACTGCATCAAAATCTTAAGACATTTTCATGTAATTATTTTATTATTTGTATATACAAATAAATTAATAAACTTCATATTTATTAACTTAATTATTTTTTGTTTAACCTTTACACTGTTGTTTTTTTACTATATTCAGTCACTGCTGTGACAGCTGTCTAGTAAAGAGTCAAACAGCCTCAACAAGTCATGTTAGTTCTTAAATTCATCACAAACATAAGTGGTGCTACAAAAAGAAGCTTATCAAAAGTACATACATACATATGCTCTCTCTCTCTCTCTCTCTCTCTCTCACACACACACACACACACACACACACAAAATGCAGAAAAATATTTGTGAAAAATTCAAAACTTTGTCAACATTTTTTAATGTAGAGCATAAAAATGAAAGAGTGTGAAACTGTTATACCAAAATTCTATCCTGTGTTAATTTGTTCATTTTACATGTATTTTGTTGTATAATGAGCTAAAAGGCTTAACTTATGTAGAAACAAAAAAAAAAACAAGATGAATGATTTAATGCCAAATATAAATGTTTGCAAAATGTCAAATCCAGCAAGCACTCTCAAAGATAGTTTTCATAAAATATCAGTTTCTATAAATATAATGAAATGATAAAAACAAAAAAGGACAAGAAAACCCTGAACAAGAAGCTTTAATTAAGAATTGATTAAATAAAACAAAATATAAAAAAGAAGTCTTCTTACAAAAAAAAATTTAAATAAAGTATGTCACCTCAACCATTTTGTAAAAGAAGTCTCTGTAATGTACTGTGGATTTGAGATCTCATTTATCAGATTAAAAAAGAAAATCAAGAGAGTGTGCTTGTCTTCAAATTATGTCCTTCTACAGATGCCCACATTTTATTACCTTTCATATGCTCTTTATCTTACCTGACAGTGTCAATGAGGTGGCTGCCAATTTGCCAAGTTCAAACAAAAGGCAACTCATTACCTGAATGTAGGTCTATCAGTTAGCTTTTGTGTTGGTACACGTGAATATACAATATACACTGAAAAGTTCTAAAATAGCAGCTTTAGCTATTTATTGTGTTTTGTCTTACACATCTATAACAATGGCTGCATTCAAAAAGCTTCTGGTGATAAAACAATATATCTGAACCCTGCCCCAACACACTTCATATACAGTAAGCACACTAGGTTTTGAATATAGTGTGAATCCTCTTGAGGGATTAAGCTTTGCATGTACATTTAATTGTGGCCAGAGAGACTGATACAATATCAGCTGTTCTAAAAAGAATTTTAAGAAAATAATACTTGCAAGGTGAATGACATTTTCATATAAGACAGAATACATTCCAAATTGTAGTTATGAATTCTTATTGAAGAGTAATCTGTGGCGTCTTTATTTACTATTTACATATTTAATATGAGAATATTGTTGAAAAATAAACTACTTAGATGTCCATATCAATATTTCTATATGTTTTCATTAAAATATTAAGTTTAGGATACATCTTTGTTCTAAGTTTTGATCTGTTGATTATTCAAATAATTAGCAGGAGGGGGTGATCCTAATTTCAGTGCTTTCACTCTAAAACTATCAGCTAATCAATATGATCAGCTGACAAATTACAGTTTTATTCTCAGTAGAAGAAGCAACAATTAATGAGAGAAGAAATAAAAAACAATTCAGATATAAGTGAAAGGTTAAAAAGAGAGAAGAGAGAAGGAAAAACAACAATGACTAAGAGAAGAAAGTGTGTAAGGTAGAAAGAAAATAAAGAAGGAATGTGATAAAGAAAGAAATTAAGGAGAAAGAAAGCAGCAGCAATTACAGAGAATTATATATAAAATAGAAAAGAAAGGATACGAAGTAATGGTGAGAAAAAAGAAGTAGAACAGAATATGATGAAATATAAA